TGTGTCCCAAGGGAAGCGGTCAGACCATCTTCCCAGGAAGGAAACCAGGGTCTGAGCTGTCAAGGCCCATGGGTTTCCGACCCTGAGTTTCACATAGTTTGGGGCTTGCTCTCCTGAGATGACGTCCAGCCTGATCGTTGGTGCTTCAGCAGGTCTCCTCCACGTGTTAGGGTTCCCGGACCCACATCACGTGCTTTCATCCCCATGTTCCCGACTCGGCAGTCACAAGGCCATGGGCAGTGTGATGTCTGAATCCCAGGAAAATTCCGGCCCTTCTGGGCCAGGTCCCAGCTGGTCCAATGAGTCAATTTATGTGTTTTATTTAAAAACCAGATTGCTTTTCTTTCTCCTCTATTTACAAAGAAGAAGGAAATTTCCTACCAACAGTAAAAGAAGAGGAGGAAACAGTCATGGATTCCTCCGAGTCCCAGGATACTGCTCCCAGGAAGTGAGTTGATTTAATGGCAGTAACTTAAACATAGAGCAGAAAGCTTGCTCTTTCATGAGTGAGGAAAGCTGTAGCCATCTACCTCGGTAGCTTCATGACTGACAGAGTCTGTGCAGCGCCTCGATCCAGGGGACTCATTTTCCAGGAAGGAAACCAGGGTCTGAGCTGTCAAGGCCCATGGGTTTCCAACCCTGAGTTTCACGTGGCTTGGGGCTTGCTCTCTGGAGACGACGTTCAGCCTGATCCTCGGTGCTTCAGCAGGTCTCCTCCACGTGTTAGGGTTCCCGGACCCACATCACGTGCTTTCATCCCCATGTTCCCGACTCGGCAGTCACAAGGCCATGAGCACCGTGATGTCTGAATCCCAGGAAAATGCCGGCCCTTCTGGGCCAGGTCCCAGGCTGGTCCAATGAGTCAACTGACGTGTTTTATTTTAAAAACCAGATTGCGACGGGCCATCTGTGGGGACCCGCCTGCCCACTCGGACCACCTTCAGCGCTTTAGGCTCGGGTCCGGTCTGACCGTTATTGCGGAAAACGGAAAGCCTTGGGCGGGCTGCCCATTGGACACCGTGCCGGAAGTGGGAACCGGAAACGGTGTTCGGTGCCGCCGGGGTTGGCTCAAACAGTGGCGGTTGCAGTGGAGCCCCTCGCGGGCGGCGCGCGCTGTGCTGGATCAGGTGGTGCTGCGGGTGAGGAGCTGCGGGTGAGGAGCTGCGGCTGCCCCAGCAGGAGGCTGCAGGAGGCCTGGGAGGTGCAGGGGAGCCGGCAGGAGGCTTAAATGCCGGCGTTTACTGGGTGGACTCGCAGCGGAAGCGGTATGTCCCCGTGAAAGGAGACCATGTGATTGGCATAGTGACGGTTAAATCGGGAGATATATTTAAAGTCGATGTTGGAGGGAGCGAGCCAGCGTCTTTGTCTTACTTGGCATTTGGAGGTGCAACTAAAAGAAACAGACTAAATGTGCAGGTTGAGATCTCATTTATGGACCATTTGTGGTTGCTAATAAAGATATGGAACCAGAGATGGTTTGTATTGACAGCTGTGACGAGCCAACCGAATGGGTGTGATTGGACAGGATGGACTACTTTTTAAAGCAT